TGTATGACATTATATTCTGCAGTTCTTCCCTGTTGTACCGAATATCTATACTTTTCAAATTATCACATCGAAGTTAGAAATTCAAATATTGTGACAAAATTAATTTTGTAGGGTGCCACAAGTTTGTTAAAATTTCCAAAGGGTGCCGCGACTAAAAAAAGGTTGGGAAACACTGGTCTAGAATACTTATTGTTCTTAAGGCTGTACTGCCCTCTTATGGTAACACGCTCTCTTTAAAATCCAATCCAAGCACAAGCTTCAAAGGATTAGATATAAAATTAAAACAATAAACTTCTAAAATAAATATTGAAGAAAGTGATTACACTTACTGTATTTACGACTGTCACATAATAAAAGCCTAGTTTTAAAATTTCTGAAATATATGGTACATGCAGATTCATATTTTATTTTATACATTTTATTACTTATTTACTTAGTTGTTGGTAACATAATATTATATTATTTTTTCTTTTAATATTATGTATGTTTTATTTTTTGTTATATTTTTATTCATAAGTCCAGTCCGGCCTTTCCCTTACAGCATTGTTTGTTGCTACGACAAGTGTTTCCAAAAGAGGGCAGTATGTTGTTGCTTTTCATTGTACATATTTGTGAGTTAAAGGCACAATATGTAATTTTCGCCGCTAGAGGGCGTGTATTCTTCATCCCCACAGCCGATGCAATCCGACGGGACTCGGGCAGAAATCATGCTCATGGATGAGCTAATGATTTATTAACATATTAGAATGAAGCGGGGTGAGGCTGAAAACTGTCGAAGCGAAACAAGGCCGCTGAACGAGCGTGACGCACCTTTAATGCAGTGGAGCTTTTATTATGCACCAGTCGACAGCTTCCGCTCCTTCCGGTCGTGTGTATGTGGGAGAAAAAAGCAGCGCTGTTTTATCATACTAGATACATTTGAAAGTTCTGTTATAATGCTAGTCTGTGCGGTCGTCACCGGTCTATTAAAACGCACAACATATTAAAGCGTCTTTGGTGTTTCCATGTTTTCTACAAAACAAAACCGGAAATTGAGGGGTTATGACGTCATTGGCAGGCGACACAATGACACTATGGACACGGTCCGTGTCACTAGTTAAAATTGCTTATTTCTCTGGATTTAAACATTCTTCGAAACATTTGGGATAATGTAAATACACAAGTCAGCAAAATATATAACACTGTTCTAGTGGTTTTTGGATATTTTAATAAAAAACTTACATATTGTGCCTTTAAGTAGGTTTGTAAATTGAGTGTTGTAGCTATGCAGCATGGCTATGCTGTCTTGTAGCTATGCTGTCTTTTGCTAAATGTCTATATATGCTTCAGACTACTACTTTGTCTGGCTTTACAAATTAGTCTTTATACTTTTTTTTTTCTTTTCTCCCCCAGTGACGTCCATCACCCTCTTGGAGATGGGCACACTGTCCAACGGTGCAATCGTTCTTCTTCTTAGTGAAACCTTCTTCCTCTTCGTCACCTTGAGTTACTATCACCACCTTGGCCGGCGCTCCAAAAAGATCTGAGGGAGGCCAGCTATTTGTTAGATGAGTAGATTGGATACAGTAGTACCTCTGCCTGGAACAAATGAATTTACACTTGACTGAAAATCAGCCTCTTTTTGTGGGCAATTTCCATTTTATGTAAGTACAATAACTGGGTATTTACTCTCATTAGATACAGAGGGCCACAGATCATTAATATTGTTTTTGTTACATTAAGTTCACTACAGTGGGTATAATTATTTGACAGCTCACTTTTTTGTAAAAGCATTTTCTGAGAATTTATTGTATGGAGGGTAAATTTATGGCTCATTTATAAATGTCAGAGAATCCCAAATGTGTCAGATTAGTTTGCAAAGATGCCTGCAATTCATGTCATATTAAGTAAGAGTTTAGTGAACTTCCTCTATGTGGTGTGTTATTCTATGGCAAGAATGTAGTTTTATAATGGTGCTGGTTTTATTCATCAGACAAAATAGGCATAGCATGACACAACATACAACAAATAATACAGGACAAAAGGTAAAACAAGAAATAGCATACATACAAAATTAATAAATACAAATTTGAATCTGATATTACAGAAATACAGTTGTTACATTTACTTGTAGTTACTAACATTTCTAATATATTTATTTCATTCATATTATTACCTCTGTAAATCTGGTAAATTGCAGTTAAAATTCCAAAGTGATAAACAAATGCATTCCTTTTGAATGTAGGTTCCCAACTGGGGGTCGACCGATTATCGGCCTGGCCGATTATCGACGCCGATATTAAGCATTTTTATGATTATCGGTATCGGTCATTTTCAAAACCGATTCGCCGATAAAATAACTTAATTTTGAAACGCGCTATTTGGCTCTGATGCAGCCTGTCAGAACTCACCACTCTGTGGCCTAAAGCAGTCTCCGCCCACCGCCCATCTGATTTGTTGGGAGTCATGAGTCAGACCAATCAATGCGGAATTCACTCTCACTACGAAAGCGCTTGCTAACTGGAGCTGCTTCAGTGATCAAAGGTAAGGCAGCAGCAGACGTTGCTTAACGTTACACTGAAGTTGCAAAACACCTCGATAGGACGGAATCGCGGAATCCAGTCATATAAATGGAATTTACAGTATGACGCGGAATGTCACGGATGTCACGGAATTTGTCAAAGTTTGGATGAAT